GAAGACAACACTGACTGATGTGAACTGAACTTCTCCCACATCCATTCAGAGACTAATGTGAGAAATAATTCCAGAAATAGATTTTTATATGTGATGTCTTTGCATCACTAGAGGTCAGTATATAATAAAGAATTAAAGACTTTAAGGAGTTGTGAGGAGCCAGCACAGTGCATTCAAGATATATAGTGAAATATTGTTAAATCAAAAACACTTTGATTTAGTGAAAAGGGAGGTATTTTCATATTTAAATGCAACTATTTTTATTTAATATTTATGAAATAGAACTATCTCTTTTTATTGCTCAATATAAATTGAACCAATAATAGTTTGGCCTAATTCAAATCTGAAGAATGTATGGTTTTCAAAGTTTTCACTGTATTTAAATAAGTTAAAAATACGTCATCTCACATCACATTTGCCAAAACATCTTGGTTCCGATTATATAAAGGTGTTTCGCTCTCTATGCCCTTCTCTGTCTCTATGCACAGCTACCGCTCTACCTGTAAAAAATAAATATCAAATAGCATAGCAATTTGCAGTGAGGAAAAAGATCCTTCTTTCTCCATTCCCTTTGACTTGCATGTGGCTGTGGGTCCTGGGATTTCTCTTTTACCCTAGTTGAACATTTCTGTTTCTTCATTTAAAAAAATCACAAGTTTGATTACTGGGTAACATACCTCTCTCCATGTTAGAAACCCAATATATTCATGTGATTGAGAGTTTTCTTCTTGCCAATTGTATGTGCATATTTCCCTTGCAGGCCAAAGACCGCATTCAGTATTATCAAACAAGAGAAATCTTTATATTTCCTTATGACCTGGGAAGCAAATGGGATAACTTCAACCAAGTCTTTACATGGTCTGGAAGCCCTGAGGGAGATGGCTTGGAATGGCCTGTAAGAGAAGACTGCCATCAATACAGTTTAACGGTATGCTATGTTCCCTTGTTTTTGCTTTCACATGCCTACAATTAAGTATGAAGTAAACGCATCGAGCAATTGGCTGCACTAAAACGCACTTGATCTCTTTCAGATTGAGCAGTTAAAACAGAAAGCTGACAAGAGAGTGAGAAGCGTAAGTACATCCGTTCTGCCAGCAATCAACCACATTGCTTTGAATATGGCCTGATCTTAATTAAGTATATTATACTATATATATTAGTATATATAATGGCATTATTGTATTAATATATATTATATAATTAACAGATATTGTATTAATATACATTATATAATATATATTATATAATGTATTATTATAATATTCCCATTATGGTACAAAGTATTGTTATTCCACTGTATGGGCTATGATTTGTTTATCATAAGTCACGTGCAATGTTATAAATGTCTTTGGACAGGTGGAAAGAAGTAGAAGCAGGATGGATGGATTGAATAAAAAGAGAAGGAAAGGGGAAATTCTAAATAGTTGCCTATGAGCTATTGCTCTGGGTTGAAAATTTTAATCGATCCTGTTTTAGTTAGATCGTTAACTTACCAGTTATGGAATGAATTGAAAGTGCTGAAATAATACTGTAAACGTTCCTGGGGCAAATCTCCTGGAGACTTAAAAACCCAGTAATTTTGCCAATTTCTTGGCAAAAAGTATAATTTTTCTCCTTTTACCAAACTAGCTTGAACCCATTAAATTAGAATTAGTATCAAAATATTAGATCAGTAGTTCATTTCTACACTGACACGTCAAGGCTTCTCTGGTAAAACAGCTGCTTTCTAATCTGTCAAAGTTGTCAAGCAGGTAGCACAAGCTGTTCCACTACAGAGCTTTATGTCTCTATAAACTCTGGATGCTTATAGTTTTCCATCCTAATAATATACCCAATAATATTTTTTATGCCTTTGAGTCAATCTTGTCTCTTTCTTGGGAAGATTTCAGAAGTGTTTTGCCACTGCCTCCTTCCTAGGGCTGAGAGAGGGTGATTGGACCAAGGCCACCCAGCTGGCTTTGTGCTTAAAGCAGGGCTAGAACTCACAGTCTCCCAGTTTCTAGCTTGATGCCTTAACCACTACACCAAACTGAATCTCTACAAGTTCATATTTTACATTTGAACAAATAGTTGTGGACAGATAGCATGAGATAAGATTATAATCTTCCATATATCTTTTATTTGTGAAACACTGAATTCATATACATAATTTTAAAAATAAAATTATGTTCACCCACTCCCAAAATAATATCTTGTTACATATTTGTTATCATTCCTGCACCAACATTCTTTTTCACAGCTCTGTTGTTTTACAAATACGTGATGTCTAAGACACATAATGGCTCTTTAAACATCCCAAATTCCTCTATTTCAACCCCCACTTCACATTTGACTGTTCAAAATTCTTCCAAAACAGCTCATATCTCTTCATGTGTTTCCTTCATTATGCAAACACTTTATTTCTGCAATTTGTATGACACTCAATTCCATAAAGACTTTGAATGGCTTATAATAATACAAAAGTTAAATAGAGAAACTGAAAAGAACGTCCCAAACTCATGATAGTTTCCTGAAGAACAGCAACAATGGCTTACAATTGTTGCAAGGAGACAACAGGTAAGAGCATCATTCACATAAGAATTCATAGCAAAACTATTTCCCAACAGCAATTCCTGGTTCTTCCTTTATAACTGTTTCCTTAGAGCTGTTTCCTTGAGCTGAATATGCTTCAATTTGAACAAGGGAAAGTCCCTACTTTCAGGAGCCCCTTTCTACGAACTGCAGGATCTGTATCATATCTAATGCCAACTTCATGCTGTATAAGATTGGCCCTTCAAAGAGAGCACAGGGAAGTGGAAGTGGAAAGAAAAGGCCGATAATTGACTTTTTTCTGTCAGAAAATCTACAGTAAATATCAGAATGTATAATTGGAGGGTAGGAACAATTAGAGAAAGTTTTGGCCTCTGAAAAGGTTGAAGATTATTTATGTAATTTTATATAATTTCAGCTACACATATAAATATAAATAAATGTGAAGGATTGAAGTATAATTTGCAGTGAATTTAGATTACAGGTTGGCATCCCAAATATAGTTGTCACTTTATCACCTGTGATGACTCTAGATAGCGTGTATGTGTGTGTGCAAGCACCTACTGGTTTATTTCAAATGGCTGAAATGTCACATGAAATGCTAAATCTCACAAGATTTCAGCCACTTAAAAGTACTTTAATGTATTGGTGCCCATGCAGTCAACACAAATTGTGTGGCACGCAGTTGTCAACCCCTAGTGTAGATGATATTTTGTTTCATAGTTAGTTTAGAGTGGGATTGCCTTGGCCTAACAAATATTTCTGCCAGTACACACTAAAGGCCCTTTCATCCTGGTATCCTGTTCTTTATAATGGCCAGCTCAGTGGTAATAGAAAGTCCAGGAGCATGACATTAAAGCAGCAGTGGTCTCTCCCTTGTGCTCCCCAGGAATTACTCTTCAGAGGAAAGTGCCTCTGAGCTGAATGCATAATAGGATACCTACCAGAAATTTGGTTAATTTTCACAAGCCCTTGACATTAAGTTTATATTGATATTTTGATTCAATGTCACCCGGAGTTAAGATATCTTGCATTCAGATCATATGCTCCCTGTCTTGTTTTTGCCATGGAAGCCAATTTTATAATCAGTGGATTGTAACCAGCAAATTATTTTAGGCAACTTTTTTTTTTTAATTCAAATTCTCCAGGTACAGTACCAAGCAATAGAAGACTATAATGGTGCCTGTTGCCCTATTACAAAAGGCTTGAGGACTTTCTTTACAACTCCATGCACTGAAGAGCCTAGAATTGTCCTTCGCAAGGGGGACCACATTTTAGCCACACGAGGACTGAAGTTAGTATCTCTATATATGATTAATTCAAACTTTTTAAAATGTTTTGAGGGTAAACAAGTGCTGTCTAATTATCTTTTTTTTTTTTTTGTAGGCACTGGATGTATGGTGACAAAATTACTGACATGGCAACTAATGGTAATTTCTTCTTTGTTTCAGAGTTAGAGTATCTTATTTCAGTTTCATAATGCAGTTTAAATTTAATGTCTTAAGTACATTATTTTCAAGGATTCCAAATGCAAAACCTGTTAAAACAGTTTGTATCAAAAATGTAGAAAGACAGTCTGAAATGGTTTAACATGTATACAATGGTTTTGGAGGACAGGAGGTTAAGAAATGCCGATTAGGAAAATCAGTGGTGCAAATCCCTGCTTAAAGATAGAAAGATACTTGTTTTAATCTATTATGCCTTGATACCAAATGGATAATCTGGCCATCTTCCAGCATTTTAGAATTTAGAGTACTGTATTCCAAAAATGAATCTAGAAACTAGAAAATTGAGTTAACTGGTTGGATTAAATAATTAAGAGTGCAGTTCTAGGCACATTTCCTTGGAAGTAAACCCCAATGAAAATCAGTGGGACGTACTTCTCGTTTGACATCTGTAGATTTGTTCTATTAGGAGCTTCATTTATTTTCAGATTCTTAAACCAAGGATGGCAGATACTGTCATAGAAGAAACATCCTTTATCGTCTCCTATGCAGGACATAATGCTTCTTCTAAATAAACACCTACAGCAATATGGTTAATACAGGCAATGTGAAAACAACTTAGTTTTGCAGATGTTACAGAATTTTTGACAGAGCACATTTTTACAGTGATGGGATAGGGAGGAAAAATCTGCAAATGCTATGTTCTTAATTTCTCCTGTTTTTTCTCACTGTTAGATGGGAAGAGAATCAGAGGCTGGTTCCCAAGAAATTGTGTAGAGAAATGTCTGTATGATTCTGAATCAGATCAGCCATTGGATGGAGAAAAGAAAGCAAGATAACCCTTTTAATAACTGGAAAAGATTACTTTTGACCACTGTCCTTCTACTTGAATATTCTGTATATAAATATATTCTTATGTATTGAACAAAGATATTTTGTGTGCTTGCAGGGATGGGAGCTTCAGTGCCATAAATCTAAGCATCTTTTGCCATTTTTAGAAGGGAGGAAGACATTCCATGGATGCTTTTCATATTAAAGCTTTCACAATCTAGAGCACATTCGACCTGCTTTCTTTTTTGTTTAACGTAGGAGCTACAGTTCTTCTGATATTTAAGTATTGCTCACTTAAATGTATATTTTCTCAATATTTACATTCCTTAGTATTTACATTCCTCAAGTTGCTTTTCTATTCCCATCATGAAAGCTGAAAGGATTATGTGAACAAGTGCAACTGAGTGGCATAGTTGATGCCTGGGATTTTTTTTTTTTAATTTTAAAATCATGTGATTTCCTTAAAAATAAAAAAAGTAGCAAATGTTATATTTCCTCTATGGTGCATCTTTAGAGATAAATATATTGCTGAATTTTTGCAAAAAAATAACAAAAACAACAATTCACATACTGTGCTAAGTCATACAGCAGTTCTGGCTTTTGCATAGTATAATGTGTGACACAAAGTTATTACTATACTGCTTTCTCCACTTTAGTACTCTGTAGCTACAATGAAATTTTATCTCTGAACAACAGAGGTAAATTGTAGGACTTGGTTTCTTTCTCTCTCTGAAGTTAATTTTTATTCACTGTCTGAACTTTCCTGCAAACTACCTAAATCTTTTACCTATTCCTCAGCACAAGTTTCCTGCTATTCTACAGTTAAATTCAATAATCAAACAAATGCATGGATTAAAAAAACAGTATGAAAATTGACGTAGATAAATTTAATTATATTGATGTTAGCCCTTCAAGGTCAGATCAAGAAACAGACACCACAAGTATTCCAGGATTGCTACTTTATTGTATAAATCAAATATTGAAAGCCTGTCCAAAACCTTCGCAGCTTCCTTTTCAAGACAGTAGATCAATGTGTGGCTGTTCTGAAAGAGTAGACTCTTTCTACGCTTCAGGTCTGATAAACCGTTACTTTTCCACTTCCTTCTCAAGGCCCGAACTAAATTCCTCCACAGCAGTATTTTTCAAACTTGGCAATCTTAAGATGTGTGGACTTCAACTCCCAGAATTACCCAGCCAGCTATTCTGGGAGTTGAAGTCCACACATCTTAAAATTGTCAAGTTTGAAAAACACTGATCTACCGTAAAAGATGCAGAAATGCCTGGTCAGCTAGTCAGTGTTAAATGAATGTTGAAGATGCCATTTAAGCACATGAATTTGTGCTCAATAAATAAATAAATTTCTCAACTACCACTTAAGTGTAAAAAGTGGCAGAAAGTCAAGAAAGCTGTGGTGAAATTTGTAAGGTTGAAGCATGACTCATATGGCAGAAGAATGGGGAAGCAAATTATCAGTTCAGTAAGGATTTTAACAGTACATTTCATTTGTCTGACATATTGCTTTTGGTAGCACAACATACTATAGCTGCTTGCATTTTACACTTATTAGCCTATAAATTCATGCTGGCGTGAAAGTTTAGTACTGGTCATTTCACTTCCAGAGAGGACCAAATGGGGGAAAGTCCTGTAATATCTATTTATGAAATAAGAATAAATACTTTTCAACAGGTAGCATTAGACAGAATCAAGTTAACAATTTTAAAGAGTAGAGATAAAATAAAAGGAGGAACTTTTATGAATCTCTAGAACTAGACTGGGGGTGGAAAATGTCTAGAAAAAGAAAATTCTAAGTGTTTAAGCTAAAGCTGCATGTTCAAAAAAGATATATATGCAAGTTCCAGTGGCCAAGTGGTAGAAGATCATGGCTATTACTGTTTTCTGTGATTCAGCTACACATGATCTTCAGCGTACAGAAAATTATGGCTTCAAGAAGCCACCTTATAGGCCTATTTCAAGTCAGCAGTATGTATAATTATACAGTCATAGCATTAAAAATGGCCCTTTCATTCTGGTTACAGGGTTGGTTAGTAGTTCACTGCTAGAAATTAGAGTGTTATCTTGTTAAATGTAACTGCCTTCACTACAAGTCAAAAGTATCTATATTTTCTATTGATCTTATCCCTGAAATTATACTGAACCTCATTTTAGCATCTGTGATTGGCAAAGATGCCCAATGTATTTGTACTTCAAGAAGATCCAAGGTCAATAGTAGTATGGAAGATATTTCAAATTCAAACCATCCCACTGTGAATATGAAATGGACTGTTTTGCAAAGCTTGGTAATGTCTCAAGTAGGAAATGCAATATATTCTCTATGTTACCAAAAGTCCTTCAATTTTAATCAGCAATTATGAATTAGGACTAGACTTTCCAGAAATTGAAAATGAATGTGTTTCTCATTGAACCTGGCAAAATTAATATAAACTTAAAACAGAGAAAGAAATGTTTAATTGTGAAAAGCAAATAGAATATTTCCTTGCTCTTCCTAGGCTCCAATGAAATAAATTGTGTTCATAGGAAGATTATTCATTTTTATTTATTATTTTAAGGGTTATGGTACTGCAAAGTCTGAGAACCCTGCAGTAAGCCATGATATCATGTGGTTTGTTTATCATGATGTGCCACCCTAGTTTAAAACTGAAGTTAACCATGAGTTCAACGTATTTGTATATTTATTTTATTTATTTAACTAAATTTCAAATTTGTCACCACCCATCTCACTCCAGAGCGACTCCAGACATACAATGTCTTTGTATTTATGGAGAAATTGACAAATATGTTTTAGGCTATGTACTTTCACTAGGTTTTTATTTTTCATATTCAAGTTTCAGCTAGCAGATAGTCATTTTGTGCCTAGCAGAATTGGGATATACCAACTTAGAAGGTATGTGCAATTGAAGCTAGTATATTTAAGTGCTCATCTATGAGTGATGAATTTTATAGGTACAGAAAGTGTATTCTACAGTTCTTAAGGTATGACTAGGTCCCAAAACATTATATATTATATTATCCTTGTTATCCAATTAATATTTAGTGTACTGGCATATCAACTCTATCAAACCAGTACAGTGTCATTATGGTCTCTTAGTAGTCTGACAGAGTTCAATATTTTCCCATAAACTCAGCTTTTAAATATATTTTTAAACCATTTAACACTTTTCCATTTCAATTAGGGTTATACAATAAAGGAAAATATAGTTTTCTCAGTGATTGTAAACAATTCAAGCTAGTGCAGTCTGCTTTGTCTTCCTAGGCATATAACTGTAAATGGGACACTAACCTCCTGCAACACAGATCTACCACATTTGTTGGTTTCTTTTAGATGTTTCCCTTGCCAGTTAGGCACTTTCATAGTCCACTGTCAATATGTTCAATCAAGATGGCCTTCATTCCTTTACATGTTAGCAGCATACAGGTCATCAATTAGACTCCTGAAGTGTTTGACAACATCTGCTCTTTTTGCCTTCAGTGTTGGAGTTAAGAGTCCATTTTCAACTGTAAATGGCTCTGGATGAAGGTAGATGTCTTTCACCTGGTAGAGAAAATATGTTGTCATAATCAAAAATGTTTGACGCACCTACAGTAACTACTATGAAGGCAGTTACCATTTTACTTACAGAAGTTAAATCATAGAATAATAGTGTAACAGAGGAGGGAATTTACAGCATCCTTATTTCGTTTTCATATTTATGGAGTAATATCTTCCACTGAATTTATACTCAAAAGATGAGGGCCCAAGGGCTAACACTATTTGGAATAATATGGGAATGAAACATTACCTTCCAAAAAATCCTCCCAAACATAGATAGTTGCTATTAATGTATTAACTGTGTGCCAGATTTGTCCAAGGCCAAGAATGGAGATTCAAACTGTATTTCAGAATATCAGGAATGTACCATTATTAATTCTAAAGTCTTTTAGAAACCAATTGTAAGAGATAAGGTAAGTCTGGCTTCACTAGAACCCCTAGGAACCAGGATACATGGTGAAGGGCTACGATCAGCAAACATATCCTGGTGTTGTTATAGTCTGTTCCAAATTAGGTATTATAGCACTTATCTGTTCATGTGTTCAAGCATTTTTTCAACACAAATGAGTATACAAATCTTCATCTTGTACATCAAATCACAGGAGGGGGAAGTAGGAGGGGAATTTAGGGGGGACACAACATTTAGGGCAGTTCACCATAGAGCTGAAATTTAATATAGAGAGAGCAATAGGTTCCCCACTGAATCTTCTTTGCTTTCATTACAAAAACAGTCATCATTGTGGAGTCCTTGGGGTTCTCAGCTTGGTTGTTTTCTTGCAAACATTACCCAGCTAGGTAACATCTTCAATGCTAGCAGTTCAACCCTGAGCTACACATATTTGCTTCTATTGGTACAATCATCTTCAGCAATTTCCTGGATAATTACTTACTTGTTCAAAGGTCTTAAGGCCAGCTTGTTTCCCCAATGTGATCATGTCCATCAATATAGCTTTTTTCACTACCTAGAAGCAAAAGTGGAGTTTAATTGTTAACAGTTTATCATTCTGAAATTTTAAAAAATACTACTAACCTAAATGTAGATACAACTATTTAATGAAACTGTAAGTCAAATATAGACTGAAAATAATGACAATATTCTAAACAAAAAATCAAGTAATAAACCTGATTAGTCTTTCTATATAGTATAACAACAAACAGAAGAATTCAGACTTTGTACTAGAAGTGTTTGTAGAATAAGTACTAAGAAATGATAGACACTAAAATTACTTGTATAAATTAATTCTTTCTAGTTAGCATGTTCATGGCAATTTTTTCCTTTCCTTTCTTAATTCATTAAGATGAATTCAGCTTATACCAACCTCTCATATTACTTTACAGAGATTTGCTTTTCTCGATTAAGATACATAATTTTAATTCTTTTAAAGATATCAAGAACAACTATCAAGTCATGCACACATACACACACAAAATATACTTGCAGACTAAATGCAAGGCCTTTCCCAGTTTCTAGATTAATACCCAACAAGCTATCGATTTTGTGCTGAACAACTCCATGGAAGTTTATGCTTCTCAAAATGCAAATTTTAATATAAAATATATAAAAACAATGCAAAGAGAAACCTATATGTAAACAGTGCATAAACTCTCAGTTCATTCCATAATGCCAGTTTGAAATGCTAAATTCTGGTTTAAGGACACTGTTCTATTGGGTATCCATTTTTTTCCCATTTGTGGAGCTATCTTGCTTAAATTTAATCTGGCAAGAAGACAGTTTTGATGACATAAATACAAAATCAGTCAGTGGTTCTTGCTCAGATGATTTGGTAAGTAATGATATTTCAGGACATGCATATTCACCCACTGTGTATACTAACACATGCATTTTATACATGATGCTAAGCCATGAATTGTTTCAACCATAGTTTCCCTATTGAAAGCACTGAACTATATTTTCCAAACTACAGTGGCTGGCTTTGTAATGTGTTCAGCCAAAATCAAACAAACCATATTGTAGCTCAGTGTGATGCGTGAACCCAGATGACTGACTGACTCACACACACACACACACAAACACACACATTCATTAATCCCTATAATATTTTACTACAAAATTTAGCTTTAAAGAGATTTTATTTAGATTTTCTTTAGTTCATTTATTTAGTTTATTTAGTTAGAAAAAATTAGTTTTCTCCTACAAGTTAAGGAATGTTTAATTCTTCAGAAAGTAAAAAGTGTGTCCACCTACTGAATTTTTGCAGAGTTCTTCATATGAATCTTTTACTCCCAGGTTTTCTGCAAATGCTGAAAGAGTTTCGGCATCAGGAACCACTATACCCACCAAGAAAGACTGTTTAGGGAAGCAAATAACATATTCAGATTTCAGGCACCTTGGGAAAAAAAAGTATTTCTCTTCAAGAAATTCTCTGAAACATATAAAATCCCTTCTTTCTTTGGGAAAGATATCCTATAGCTTATTTCATGTTTGGGGGGAAAATTGTTTGAGCATGTCATTTATGTGATAGTCACAATTAAAACTGCAAAGGTATCTTGCAATGAGGCAACAGCCTTGTGAGTCAAGGTAAAAATCTCAAAGGAACACATTGTTACCTGAAGGCTATCTCCATGTACAAAGACTTGTGCTACAGGGGAACTTCTGATATAGATGTTTTCAATCTTTTCAGGTGCGATATATTCTCCTTGAGCTAATTTGAAGATATTCTTTTTTCTGTCAATTATCTTCAATACATTATCCTACAGAAGAATGTAATAATATGGGCAGTTTGGTAATTCATACAACAGAAAAATGAAATCAGTTACATATGTTCTTACACTGTAATGCTTCTGAGGAGCTTGTGTAACAATGATACATCATTGCTTAAGACCTGAAATTCAGGCTTTGTAAGATGCAAGATTTTAGAAGGTAATTGCAATATCTATCTAGTCACTTACCAACTTTTAAGGTTTCCAAAAGCATTTCCATTCAATAATGGAAACTGATGTCAGATCTAAGCTGTTTCGTTTGCCACAGACACCCCAGAGATTGATATTTTGGGCACTGATTTGTTGCATATTCTAAAAGGCCTCTTAGTTATTGCTTAATAGTTGTGCTAGGCACCACTTAGCATGCAAAGGAAGCAATAATATCCAAGGTCAATCCTGTGTTTGCAACATATATAGGTGCAGAGAACATCAACTTGCAGCTACTGCTTTACCACACAAGTGGTGAGCCAGGCTCCCAAACACCAAGTTAAGATGTCATTTCTCTTTGCTGGAATCAGTAATATAATGGGCCCTGATGAACTACAATTTACTTTAGGGTGGGCACAATTGCCATTGTGTCCCAATTTAGTATCTGAAATGTTCATATGGATTTCTGGTTGCCATGCAAGTCTATAACTTAACCATTATAAATAGGGCTTTTAAGGATTTTTTTTTTTTTTACCCCTACTGACACTGATTACTAAGCCCTTATTTCAACAGACAAAAAAATGAAGAAAAAAGTACACTGGCCAAAAATCGAATGAACTAGAGTAGATGTTCCTGAAATGTATTCTGCCTTTATATCTCTTCAGGTCTTTAAAAAAACATAACTATATGCAAGGATTTTTCCAATCAAGAGACATTATTCAACTATTATATCTTTTTTTCTAAGTTTTTTAGTTTAGTTGGTTGGGGTATGTATGTATGTATGTATGTATGTATGGGTGGGTGGGAAAGAAAGATGGAAGCAACAGAAAACAGAGATTATAATTGAGAGACAATTTATGAAGCATTCCAGAGAAGTATACCATTACCAATTGCACAAAAGTCAAATTCCACATTTCATTGCATTAAATGTTGCTCCTACTTGAAGGCATCCATATTACTGTAGACAAGGAGGCAATATGGAGGCTAAGCATACCATTGGTATTATATCACTTTATCTTAAATATTCCAAGTATAATAGTAATCCTCTTTGCAAAGGAATAGTTTTTAAGCACCTGAAAACAGTTTAAGGTATATTTTCCATAACCTATTTGCCACAGTTAGTTACAGTATAGCGCCGAGACCAAAAAATCAGCAACTAACAGCTTACCGGCATCCATTTCCCAATATCTCCAGTATGCAGCCATCCATTGTTATCAATTGCTTCTGCTGTCTTCTCAGGGTCCTTTAGATAACCCTTGAATATATTTGGCCCTTTAATACAAATCTATAAAATACATACAATGTTACTGTTCAATTGCCTTTGATTTAAAAAGATAAATTCACATAATGCTGTATCAGAAAGAAGATACTTACTTCCCCTTCATTGTTTGATGCAAAATAGTTCATTTCTGGCACATCTTCAAGTTTTATGATGTTGCAGGGTAGAGGGGGTCCAACATGACCTGAAGAACACAACCCAAAATACAGCATGTAATGTATGTGAGCAGTGTTTTGTTTGCAAAATTTATTAGAATAGAATTTAAAGAATTAAATACTGTAGTTCCCAATGGTAAATCCTACATCTGTGTGAACTAAAAGTGTACTTTAATATTATCTTCTGACCCTCATTTGAAAATCAGTGTAACTCATATATTTCCAAAGTAATCTCCTCAATTCTAAATTAAAGGCCAAGTGATCATCTTCCACACATGAAAATTTAAGTAACCTACCTGCTTTCCAATCTCCTGGCATTGTGACTGTGCAGCCAGCTGTGCATTCTGTCTGACCATATGCCTCTACAACCTGATTAGGAAGACAAAAGCTTGATTTTATACAGTTCTTGATATTCAACTGCAATTTTGTAGTTTTAGCATAAATCATTACAAGATAGGTCTTATACAAGCCATTAAATCTCTGGTAGAAACCAATCTACAACCTAATCCTATACTGTCAAAATAAAGGGTCCCATTGTTAGCAAAATTTGAGAGTTTCTGACTCTCCCCAGTTAGGATTCAGTCTGGCAGAAGTTCAGACACGAGAACACCAGCTCAGATTTTAAAGTTTTATTGAAAGCAGGCCAATAGAGTCAGCTGGGGTCTCCCCTTAAGGCAGAGAAGAACCCC